TAAAATTCTTACTTCCCCACAGGCAAGTAAGCTTTGCCATGCCCAGATCTAGGACCATTCACCGAATAAATCATTTCATACTCTTTTTTTAAATGTTTATTTAATCTTGAGAGAGAGAGAGAGAGAGAGAGAGCTAGCAGGGGAGGGGCAGAGAGAGAGGGAGACACAGATCTGAAGCAGGCTCCGGGTTCTGAACTGTCAGCGCAGGGCCCAAGGCAAGGCTCAAACTCACTCAGGAGCAGTGAGATCACGACCTAACTGACTGAGCCACCTAGGCCCCTCATTCATTTTGTATTCTTCAGTCCCACGACCAAATGCCTACTCTTTCCTCCTGCAGATGGAAATAGCTACTACCACCTATGTTCTTCATGACAAGTACTTTTGTGTAACTACCAAGGATACAACTCTTGCAGAGGCTATTTGTTCTCCACAACATTCATTCTCCCCTTCTTTCTTGTACTAATGGATTCTCCAGTTATAGTTGTGAACATAGTTACTCCTTTTCACACTACATTTTCCTTTCTCCCTTGTAGCCAAGGTGGCCATGGTGACTACTTTCTAGCCAATAAGAGAAGAGTAGAGGTGATATATGCAACTTTCAGATCACGTTCTTTAAAAAGAAACTGATTCCTCTTCACTTTCTTTTTACATCTGCTTCCCAAAGGCTGGAATAAGATCATGGTGCTGATAAGCTAACCCTCAAGACACAGACAAATGCAACATCCTAGGAAATGAAAGTGTAGGCTGGGTGCCTAATTGAATGAACCCATGGAGCTTCCTAACTGCCATGGATGATATCCTATGAGAGATCAATAATTTGCATTTTTGTTAAAGCCACTGTATGTCCAAGCCCCATCCCCCCCCCCCCCCCCCCCCCCCCCCCCGGTTTCAGATAGACCTCTTGCTCCTCCTTTTCCGGGTACTCCATGAACAATATCACTCAGGGTCACTTTTAATGTTGACCTTTGCATATTTAGCTTAGGAAATTATAGAACACCAGTGCTTTTCTTGGGGACTCAATTTACACAGGTGCTGGATTCTAAGAGGCCACGGGAGGCATAAGAAGTAGGATTGAGAGTTGTTGCCAATTTTCCCAGTCATCTGGGTTTGGATACCCAGATGTGGCAATCAGCACTGCAGTCCCTTAGAAAGTGTTCTGGGGGCATATAGGAACTGACCTGCAAGGATATCTGTGCAGAGTCACAGTCCAGGGTCTAGGAAGGTGTCACTTAATCCAGACTTCTCTCAAAAACACCACAGGACACTAATACTGGAGCTGTGAGCAGGAGCCTTCTATGAACTGGTTGCCTGTTGGTAAGGGTCTGACGGGAGAGATAGACCCACACCATGCCCCAGCTGCCCACAAAAGCAACAGGACCTGGAACCATTGCCAACAGACATACCACTTTCCTCAAGAATTGACCTTCTGGGTCACATTTTTACCAAAAATTGAACATGAAATAACATCAAAACGCTCTCTTTCTAGCAGAAATGACTTGAGCAAAGAGTGAAAAATTAATATTCAAGGCTCCATTTTTGTGGTATCCAAAGACAGAGACTAAAATCTTGTCAAGGCAAAAATAGCTCTGATGTTTCAAACTCTACCCAGAAAGAACTCGTTGCATGACATGACAGTGAGGCATGGGGCTGAAGATGCAGGGTAAGGAGGAAAGGGAAATGAAAGAAGAGCCACAACAAGGAAAACACTGTGCTCCTGGAAATGAAACTTCATGATGTCGGGACTCCCCCATAGGGCTCTAGGGACTGACTCAGCACACACCGTTAAAATGCTAAAGACAATTCATTTAGGACTAGAGCACGATTAGGGCTCCCTACTGCCACCCTCACCTATTTGACACCTTTGGGTGTTTTTATCAATCATTTTTCCCTTATTGTCCCTGGGGGACCCCAGTCACTCCACTAACCTGGCCTGGATTTCTTTTTTCCAGCAGGTAGGTGCTCAAGATTGTTTCCCATCTTACGGATAAAATCTAACTGTTAATTAAGGAAGGTAAGTGATGGGGGGGGGCGCTTATACAGATGTCATAGAATATGTTTTGGAACTTTCTGAATATTTTTGAAAATATCAGATTTTGCCCAGGATATTTCCATAGCAACATACACTGCTCATTATTACTAATGTTGTAGCTGTTGTTTCATTTTATTGTCCTTAAGTCTTCAATCACAAGGTGAGTGACTTTTAAATCTTTCTCATTTAGGACAAATTACCGAATGTTAATGGCTGTTTTCTAAGCTTCATATAAAAACTGACTCTGAGAAGGGCTTTGGCCCTTGAAACAGTTTGTTTCCCAAGGATGCTGAAAGAGAAAATGCACTGGTGCCTGTCCCACTAAATTTATAATTTCTGTTAAGTATGGAAATCAAATTTCTGGTCCTAAGAGAGGAGTCCAGATTATGAAGATTAGTGGTTAAGATTCTCAGCCTGAATTTGCCCAGGAAAATCTTTGACTTCACTGACTGGGAAACAAAGAGAAAATCTGGAACTTCCTGGAGTGGACTTCTACCAAGAAACCAAACAACAAATTTGAATAAGGGGTGCACACCACCATCCTGGAATCTCAAATCTAGCTAAAAGGTATGTTCTCCAAGATCTTCAGGACTCTACCTATTATATACAAAGGGCATGTAACTTATTACAGTAGGAAAATAAAAGAAAAGCATTCTGTGCTTTCTCCGCTTAATAAATGGTCTGAACGATCACACACACACATGCACTCACACACATTCACACACAAAGGAAGAAAGGAAAGTTGTGAGCAACTGACACTGGGAGTCTTACAAAGTTATTGTGTTCTGCTTGTATATGAGAAACATTAAAATGCCTTTCCTTTTCCATGATTCACCACATCATAGGAAGACAACATAGCAGAGGGGGAAGAGAGAAGATAGTGATGAAAGGAAATGGTGGGAGAAGAGAAAGGAAAGATGTGTGCCCCAACCAGGCTGCAGCGTCCAAGGATCTGCTTTGTCTTCTGTCCAATTGCTGGGATCCTGGCTTCTCATTTGGAGGCTATGGTTCCCTGAGCATCTTTCTTGATCTGCTTTTCTTAGCTCTCCACTTCTCTCATGGACAGTAATGACAAAGCAACAAGGTGAATTTCTCTCATTTGGTGTAATAGGTGGAGCAAGGCTGTTCTTCCCCAGCTTTCCTAAGTTTCAAAAGACTAGCAAGACCTAGGTGAACAAAACAGAGAAAGCACCATTTGTTCCCCAAGAATCTCTAGAAGGACTGACTCATGAGGCTTCTCATTTCTTTGAGCTCATCACATTATATCTAGGTTTCTCTCTAGGTCTTCCAGCATCTCCTGCCCCACCCAAAAAGAGTAAGTACACCAGTGGAAATCCCCTGAGCAAACTAGCACATGCTGTACCAAAATATTGTGTCTTGACTTTGTTCTTTTACATCTTCACAACTAAAGGAAAGAGATACAATCAAAATGATAGTCCACTTAAATGATAAACAAGAGAATTTAAAGAGACACAACCCAATTACTCACCCATGGAGTGATAATCTGAACAATTCATGAGGCCTGGATTGGTCGAGATATAAATATATATATATATTTGTCACAATAACTGTATGTGATGAGCTAAGTGAACTCATGCAGCTTTCAAAGATTCTCTGTTTTACGCACTGGGGGGTGTTGTTCATCTTTGCTAATTTAGCCATTTTTATAGTCTTGTGGGACCAATTCTACCCAATATCATTGAATCAAACAGAAGTTCACTACACACTCTCTACTCAGCATCTCAATACTCATCACCTTATAATTTCAGTCTTGTGGCTTATTTCTAAAAGAGAGCCGAGTAGTGTTTCATGGCTTGAATCCAGGTGATTAGCCAGTAGAAGACCTGAGCAGACCTCCATCTTCCAGAAGGTTTCCTCTGTCTGTTGATAACAAGGATTGCTATCAACCATCATCCAAACACTAATAGCGGTTTAAAGAAAAAGATCCAACAATTACCAGGAAGTCACTTAGGCTTAACAATTGTCACTACTTTAACCCTGATGCCATGTTGGGAATAGTTTTGATTGGCACACAAGTTTAGGGTAATCTTTGAATTATCTTTGTCACTGTCTCAGGCTTCTGCCCCTTGTATATACTGTATATATTAGTTTGGTTTACAAATGCCATATGTTACTGAAATGTGTGGCAATCAGATTTTCAAAAATATAATCCTATTATAAATACACTGAGAAAATAACTATTTATCCATTAAACAAGGGATCAACAGGTTTTTTTCTGTGAAAGACCACAGAGTAAAAATTTTACACTTTGTGTGCCATACAGTTTCTGCCGCAGGTCCCCAGCTCTGCTGCTGTAGCACAAAAGCAACTGTGTTTCAATAAAACTTTATTTGCAAAAATAGGTGGTAGGCCAAATTTTGCCCCTTGGCCATAGTTTGCCAACTCCTAAACTAAATAAATAATTCTTGAATTCCTACTTGGATTAGTGAGGTATAAGTAAGTACCAGGGATACACAGAAAACATAACAAACATTTGTAGTTCTTGTGAAATTCTCTAGTATGTATATTCAGAAATTGGAGATGAAGTATTTATAAATAACCTGCAATAAATTACTTAATAAAGTGCAGAATCTTTTCTTAAAGCAAAACTTACCCCAATCAATTGGTTAGTTATGTAAGTTTACAGTTTTGCCTTGTGATTATTTTTTTGAACTGAGCCTTATTCACACTCTATAGTCTCAGGTATTTTGGGCTATACTTGAATTTGCTACCTTATTCTGGAATAAGCACAGTAAGTTTGGGGACTGACAGGAATACCAAAAAGGCACATTAATTCAAATGCTCTATCCCTTCATTTCCTCTACCTCTGCTTACAACAGCAATACTTTTACTCAGACTTCCTGTTTCTGGCACTTGCCTTCTTTTTTGCTGTGTTTATACTTCCCCCTGTCTGTGGTTAAAGAAGTATAAAGTGCTAAAGCTGTAGATTGGTGTCTCTCTCTCTCTGCTTCACTGGTGCTCTGACTCTCATTCATTCCTACACACAGGCTCACACACCTCCTCTCTCCTCTCTTTCTCTCTCTCAGAATGACGATTCTAGGTACATCTTTTGGTATGGTTTTCTATTTACTTCAAGTCGTTTCTGGAGAAAGTGGCTATGCACAGAATGGTGAGTCATTTCTAACTTTTCTTTAGGATTTCAGATTATCTCTAGCATATGCGTCAGGTTACGTAGATCCCCAACAGACCTGATATGGGCACTGGGTTGGAATGGAGTTGGAGAACTTACCACATATTCTGTCATTTTTCTGTCATTTGTTAAGTTCTAACCACTGGGACAGGAGGCCAGGGAACAATACTGTGGATGGTATAAAGTCTTAGAATTGTCTAGAAGGAATGCATTTAACTCTCTAAATGTGGATCTTAAATACTGGTCAATGTCTCTACTCTTATAAAAAGAATACCCATATAGATGCAATGGGTATTCTTGTTGGAGAATCTCCAAGGTAATTTTACCTTGTTAAAAAAAAAATCAAGCTAGATTTATTTTGTTTAGCTTTTAAGAGGTTCCAAAAACATAACTCTCATGATAAATAATGTCCAGAAAGAACAGCTTTGTCTGCACTTACCATCACCAAACCTCCAGCATCTAAAAGTGTCTAGAACATAGTAGACATTGATATTTGAATTGAATATTTGAAAATTTCTTCAAAATATTTCAGTTTTTATATTTATGTGAGATTTTTAGTGAATAACTGAATAGAGAAAGATCTGTATGAGCTGTCTCATTCAAATAAATTTAATTATCATCATATAATAATTCTCTTTGGGATCCTTGAAATACTTACCACCTACAAGCCTGTGCTGTCTACTTAGGAACTGGGTCGTAATTACAACTGTAAAGAAAGACAAAACGACAGCAAGAGGAGACACCTGGGAATTTGGACCACTCATTTGCTCCTGATAATTAAACTCTTTCACTCTAACAGTTGAAAAGTATTTTCCTATCAAAGATATCAAAGACATCAGCCTAATGACTCAGCTTAGATATATAGTCATGTAATTACTAAGGGTGGAAATCCCTAGAATATTTCCACTGATGGAATTGTCAGAGGGCTGACATTTTTCAGTGTGACCATATATGATTCACTTTGTGGGGATGATCATAATTCCTTGGTACATACTGCCCTGTGTTTGCATGGATAGCTGCTTGACAGGTAACACCTAATTCTTACTCTCTGGGGTATAATATTTTCCCTCTATTTCTTTCTGGTGACCATACATTTTGAAAATGAAATAAGAATTCTAACTGAAAGCTGAGTTTCACTTCAACTTTTTAAATTTCAGTTTTATTTAGGAAATCTATAACCACCCATCCACATTGATCACCTCAAAGTACTTTTCAGTTTGGGGTATATAATAATCCACTGCTGTTTGTTGAAAGATTTGTTTTCTGATAACCACAAGGATGATAAAGAGAAGAAAGGAATATTTTGTAAAAATCTAAACCATGTATGTTTTTGATCAACTAATTCAACAGGAAGATTTCCAAACCACACAGCCTTGTCAATAATGCATATTCTAAAAAATTAAATTTTTATAGACAAATATGCTTAGCTAGTGAGGATTGAAAGAATAATAAGTTAACTCACTGTTAAAAAGATCTGTGTAAATTTCAAAGTCATAGTAATAATATCTTCGACATGGAACTCTCTTTCAAAGGATCCCCAAAGGTTTCATGTATATTCTTAGAATTAGAATTCTTAATTTACCTTCATTACTTATTTCTCAAAAACAAACCAAAAAAATAATAATAGTCATAGCTAACCCTTATCAGGTGTTTACTATATTCTAAGCTAACTCTTTGCATATATTTGTTCAATGATTCTCATAAAATGTGAATTTCCATATCAAAACATTGAGGTATAGAGAGGTTGAGTAACCCAACAGGAACCACAGCTACAAAGTAGAATAGCCAGAATTTAAACCCACATCTGTCCAGCTCTGGTGCCGTAGGTCTTAACCACTGTGTATAATACTCTTACCTAAGAGTTTTCCAGCTTAGATCAGGTAGAACATTATTTTTGTAAAATGCCATGCAATTTTGCAAGTTGGTGAGGGAAATTTTTCTTGGTTACAAAGCAGTTTTGTTCAATAACACCTCCTAAAGAGCCAGTAAGCTGCTTCTCAAAACATAACCACTTTAATTGTATGACCAATGTTTTGTATATTGTATGAGAATATACATCAGACTCACTTCACCAGCCTGGATGGCTAAGGGTGGTGGGCATGCCTTGTTCTGCTGGTGCTCAGCATCTGCTAGACTCTGTTCTCTGGCTTATATTGTATACTAAAGAATTTTGGAGACAAAGCTGATCCACAGAAGTCTGAATCCAAATAATAATGTAGGTTCTCTTGTATAGAATTAGTGGAAAACTTAAAGAAGAGAAAACATACTTAAAGAAAAGACACAGTGTGGACTGTTGTGTAAAGGCAGGCTAAAACCACCACTGTTCCACTGAGAAAAAAGCCAGTTCTTAGGAGACAAGGTCTTAAATCCTATCAGATTAGGAATGAACATGCTTTAAAATGTGAGTCCTAATGCGAGTTGTCCGTCGTTATTTAAAACTGTTATCAGGGAGCACCTGGGTGGCTCAGTCAGTTAAGCATCTGTCTGACTCTTGATTTTGGCTCAGGTCATGATCTAATGGTCATGAGATCCAGCCTCACGACAGGCTCTGTGCAGGGCATGGAGCCTGCTTAAGACTCTCTGTCTCTTTCAAAAAACAAACACAAAATCCAACTGTCATCAGGAAGGGATCCCCTAATGAAATTACATAAAGAGTCTTTGCTAGTGACAGAATTATAAGCCTATGGATTCTAGGAATGGTCAGATAGAGCAGTGCCCACAGCTTTTTATCTCTATGTAGTTTTTCGAGATTTGTGGCTTTTGCTGAACCAACCTGTGACTCAACTAATTGGTCCACTCCACTCACAACCAGCTTTACTAATTTTCCCACAGAACTACTTGGTAATTTAAGTAAAGAGGATGCTATTTGTACATTTCATAACCTTCAGCACATTCAACTGGGGTTTAATTTTAGTATATTCTGTATCCTATTTGAAGCCCTAGAAGCTTCTGATTTCTTGTATAGATGGGCCAACTTAATTTTTAGTATCAGTGGACCTGGAAGCCATCATAGCTCACACCTGATTACTATGAGAATGGCTTCTGTTACTCTGGATTTTTCAGATCCCTGTCCAAGCATATTTGCTGACACATTTTTCTCTATTAAATATTGTGACATATAGGTACAAAATGTCTATTTAATCTTAAGGGCCTCAACCCAGTTTAAGAAATTGAATACTATCTATGACAGATTGTACTTACTAAAAGTGATTGAAAAAAGATTCTGGTTTACTACATACTTCCAGAATTCTGTTAATATCTATAAGACACAGTGTCTATAGAAGAAGGATCTATAAGCACTGAAGTCATACCTATAGGATTTGTGGAAAATCCACCAGATCTGAGTCCTAGCAGATTTAATCTAATTACATTTGCCTTAGTAGCCTAAGACAAGTTGATTTAAATAAATATTTACACAATAGAGATAATCAATTGTACTTTTAGTTGGAATGCCTATTTAGGCAAGGGAAAGCAGCTATCTCTTAAAAAAGTGAACTTCTCATAGCAGCACTCTCCACAATAGCTAAAACATGGAAAGAGCCTAAGTGTCCATCAACAGATGAATGGATCAAGAAGATGTGGTTTATCTATACCATGGAATACTACATGGCAATGAGAAACAATGAAATCTGGCCATGTGTAGCAACATGGATGGACCTTGAGGGTGTTATGCTGAGCGAAATAAGTCAGGCAGAGAAGGACAAATATCATATGTTTGCACGTATAGGAGGATTAGGAGGAACTTGACGGAGGAACAAGGGGGAGAAGAAGGGCGGAAATGGTGGGGGAAAGGGAGAGAGGCAAACCATGAGAGACTCTTGAATGCTGACAAAAACTGAGGACTGATGGATGTGGGGGGGAGGTGGGGATGGGCATGGAGGAGGACACTTGTGGGGATGAGCACTGGGTGTTATGTGGAAACTAATTTGACAATAAACTATTTCTAAAAAAAAAAAAAAAGTGAACTTCTGACTGTATGATAGTTCTCATCTTCCTTCATTCAAAAAAAAAAATACTTGGGAGGAAATAATCAAAGATTAGTAATAAAGTCAAAGGCTAGATTAGGTAGCATTTGAGTAATGGAGATAAAGTATCTCTTGTTTGAAATGCATTAATTAACAGAAGAAATTATAGTGTAAAAAGGAAAAAGTATGTTTAGTATTTTATTCTAGATCCAATGCACTAACTCCATGACAGAAATATTTAGAAATATTTGGAGGTAGGGGCACTTAGGTGGCTCAGTGGGTTGAGTGTCCAAACCTCCTTTTTGGCTGAGGTCATGATCTCATGGTTCATGGGTTCCAACCCCACATCAGGCTCTGCGCTGACAGCTCGAAGCCTGGAGCTTGCTTCCGATACTGTGTCTCCCTCTCTCTCTCTCTCTCTTGTTCTCTCTCTCAAAAATAAATAAGTATATGTTTTTTTAAAAAAAGAAAAAGGGTATAGTCTATTTAAAAAATAAATATTTGGAGGTTATTTATTAATTTTGATGACTTTTTTCTTCTAGAAAAATCTGTGCTCTGTAGGTATTATTTTGGTTTGGATTTGGGATCGTTTTGGTTTTGATTTTGGTTTTTCTGTCTTTTGCCTTGGGCTTTTCTTCTTTAGATAAGCTTATTGTATCTCCTTCATGTCTGCTCCAAAAGGCTGCCGTTTGATTAATGTCATTCCAGATTTCAAAAGGATGCACTCATTTGCTTCATTAACAGATACATGTTTGTTCCTCCCAGGAGACTTTGATGATGCCGAGCTGGATGATTATCCATTCTCGTGCTACAGTCAGTTGGAAGTAGATGGATCCCAGCACTTGCTGACCTGTACTTTTGACGACCCAGATGTCAACAGCACCAATCTGGAATTTGAAATATGGTGAGGAATATTGGCTCCTGTGGGTGCCTGGAAATCCTGTCTCTCTTTTCATGTGCTGCTCAACAAAAGAAGGAATATGAGCCTAAGTAAAATCTATTGAATTCCAAAAACCTCCTGAAACTCCTTGTTCTTCACCAAAATACTACAGCAAAGATACTTTCATGGGCTAACCTGTCAGTCAGTCCCTGCTGATACAGCAAGCACCTGGAGACCTCACAACCCTCCTGACTTTGCAGCAGACTTTAAATCTGGTTTTCCTAGGACACTGCTCCCCCCAGATTTCTTTGCCTAACATGAGACAATCTAGTTTCTTGTTGCACTCTGGAGCACTGATGCCTGGTTTCTAATCCTAATACCAGCACCGTCTTAGCTTTTCAACCTAAAGCAAGTTATGTAATTTATCTAGTCCTCAGTTTCTTCACCTATTAAATGAGTTGTATGAATTCATACAGAGGTTTGGATAATTAAATAATTTAATAGTTTAATAATTTAATTAGAGGGCTGCCTGGGTGGCTCAGTTGGTTGAGCATCCGACTCTCCATTTTGGCTCCAGTCATGATCTCACGGTTTGTGAGTTTGAGTCCCACATTGGGCTCTGTGCTGACAGCATGGAACCTGCTTGGGATTCTCTCTCCCTCTCTCTCTGTGCCTCTCCCTTTCATGCTCTCTCTCTTTCTCAAAATAAACTTAAAAAATATTAATAATTTAATTGGAAGACACATCCAGTATGTAATTACTGGGAAAGATACATTAAAATAACAAAATCTATGAATACAGACCTAACTTTCACCTTCTTGGCACAATTTGACTTCAAATGATACTCTTAGTATCAATTTTCAAAAAATCAGCAGGAATAATCTGGCTCTTATTTTCATGAGGCCACAGGGAAAAGACAAAGAAAAAGAGAAAGTCTCTCTCTGATTTGAAAGTTTGTTGAAAAAACTCAGAGAACTTTCCTTTCCCTCCACAAACCATCTCATTGATGAGGGTTACTGTCTGTGATGACTTGGAAAAAAAATTCCAACGTGGAATTCCAACATAGGGCTATCTCCAAATTCATATCAAATGACCTAAGTAGGTTACCAAGAGAAGGGAGTTAAGACTCACCAGTAGCAAAAGAGGGCTTCTTAAACTCAGTAGACCCTCACCAATCCCCCTAATACATGGTCTAGACAAGTCCTAAATTCCATGCCTTACATTAAATTACAGGAGCTTCCTGCATGGGCTCATGTAGTGCTTCCTGATGCAGTCATTTGAGAACATTGTCTTGGACTTGAATTCCATTGGGCGTTCTCAGTCTGCTTGTCTTGGTTCACTTCTATAACATACTTTCCAGGAATAAAATATGTCCAGAGAACAGGAACCTACAATGTCCAGAATCTATACGGCAACTAGACCAGGCTAAAACAACCAAAGAGTTCATTCAAACCACGCACTCATTTTTATGCATAAAAACCCCTCCAATAGTTGTATGACTTTGGGTTCTCCACCAGGCTATTTGGTGGATAGCAGCATTCATATAGTTTCTCCTCAGGAGTCTGAGGCTGACCTTTCTGTCCACTTTCACTCACACCACTTCCTTGACCACTTGAACAAACTTACCCACTTCCTTTTGCAAGTCTTTTGATTTTTTCTATCATATTGTAATCTATCTGCAGTATCCATTGGGGGTTTTCAATTGGATTTATATACTTCAGTTGGAAAGGGATTGTCTTAGACATATTTTCAGTGTGAAACAGTAAGTTTGAGGAACTTAAGGTGCTTCTGGAGAGCAGCTGTGTTTGTGAAGGTATCCACACCTTGAGGGGGACTTTCATACAACTCCTAGGCCCAGGAGTAACATTGTTTCTCAAATCAAAGTCACTTAGAGTGCTGTATTTGCTCAATAGGCTAGGTTGCTTTTCCAATGAAACTAGCTTCATTGGAGCTTTCTGTTCCTTTAACATGTTTATAAAGAAGAAATTGGAAGTCACTGTAAGATGTACTTTCTGCTGAAGTCTTTACACAAGTGGAATTGTTGATAGAAACCAGATGCTGTTTCCCAGGAGGGCTTATTAGGGGCATTTTCCTAGATGAGTTTATCACCTGCCTGATCTGGTCATCAGTTTCCCAGGGTTAGAAACCAAATTACTTGGTGTTCAATGAGAGGATCCATCTCCCAGGAATAGACTTGTATTAGCCAAAATCACAGACTTAGATTACCAGAATGCCAATTGACAATTTCACATTGATAGATACAATTATGTTAGATGCCCAAATATTCATACTGGGCTCAGGACCTATAGGAGTAGGTTTTTGGAGAGGAGGAACAGAGTGGGGCAAGAGGGTATATATCAATGTAAATCCACTCTTACTGGTGGACCTGAAAATTTTTTATTAACCAGACTCTTAACCGCCCCTCAGGTACCTGAAATAACACAACAGAGGCACTAAAAGCAGGCACTTAGGTTAGAATCCCCACAGTAACACTTAAGGATCTCTGTGACCAAAGAGTTGCTACTTAAGCTCTCTGATCGTAACGACTACATTGCATTCGGATGGATGGCATATAGTCAGTACCTGTAAATGGTACTTAATTTTCAGTGTAGACTTATTTTTATTACAAATGTGATCAAAAGGTTGTTCAATAAATATAGGAGCAAAACAAAGGAAATTTGCTTGTTGATTTTAAGACTAGAGTTATTTAGTCTTAGTTATTTCAGATCTCAAAGCGCTTAATTTTTTAACACTAGCTACTAGCATTTAAACATCTAGATATCTCTTTAAAAATCAGATTTGATCATAGCAGGCCCATCCAACAAAAGTGTCTAAACAGAATTCCTGCTGCTTTTGTGGATGGACAATTAAATCGCAGCCCTGAAAGTAGACCCACTTTTCTCATTTATGTTACTTTTGTACACACCATGGGCACTTGACTTTGGGACCTTGCTTTTTAGGTGTTGGTATAAGGTCCATAGTCAGCTCTCAGAAGGGAACTGATTTTGTTTTATTTCCACATTCTTGGGGGCATCACAGTCACCTCCGTATGCCACTTACAGATATCACTTCCCATATTTTACCATCAATGTCACAGGCACCCTGCCAAATCTACCTCATATTCTAGACTTACCTAGCACTATCTGTCACGTGTTATTAACTTAGTCCTTCTTCAGTATACCATGCTAACTCTCAAAGATGCTCAATATTTTTGAGATAGATTGTCTTTCCGGGCCAAATGAGAAATAAAAGCTACAGTTTGCTTTCGTTTCTTTTTTTTTTTTTTTTCTTTTTAATATTTCCATGTAGCTTGGGGCACCTGGGTGGCTCAGTTGGTTAAGTATCTGACTTCGGCTCAGGTCATGATCTCACAGTTTGTGGGTTTGAGCCCTGCGCCGGGCTCTGTGCTGACAGCTCAGAGCTTGGAGCCTGTTTCAGATTCTGTGACTCTCTCTCTCTCTGCCCCTCCCTCGCTTGCACTCTGTCTCGCTGTCTCTGGAAAATAAATAAACATTAAAAACAAATAAAAAAATAAAAATATTTCCATGTAGGTATCTGTCTGCCCCATCAGGAGAAATGCATTTATCAAGCTAAACCAGACAGGATTGAAAGAGATTTAGAAAGCTGGAGGTGGGGTGAAGAAGCAGGAACTATGGTCTCCCCAGGAATCTCTCCCTATTTTCAGAACAAGAGGGTTTGTGTGAGTGGCTTACAGTTGATGTCCTCTGGGAAGATCCTACAGGCCCAAATTTGTATAGTACCACTTGGGATCAAAAGTATATGAAAGAAAAAAAAATAGAAGTAAAGCCAGTGAACCATTGAAATAGTAATTTCTTAAAGTTATTGTGCAGGTACCAAAAAGACAGTTTACAACCCACGTGTACTCAAACTAAAATATGGAATGAGGCTCAGAGGTATATGTTATAATGCAACTTATATAGTGTAAAGGCAACGAGTGTCTATTCTTTACAGTGATTGGCTACAATATTAGAATTTTCTTAACCAAAAGGAAATTGGTTGGTGATTACCTCATATCAATTTTGGCAAATGATTTAAGTCTTGCTTATGATTTTCAGAGGCATAGGCAAGAAGTGACTCAGGTAAAGTTCATCTTGCTTGTCTTGTAAAGTAAGCTAAAATAAGATTTACATATATGACTAGCTGCTTTTGTCTATTCAGAGAATTTTCAAGTGTGGTCTCTGTGTTTAATTTTAACATGGATACTTGTGGTGCTTTTTTCTCCCCACAAAATATCCTAGAATGGCTCTATCCAGCAGAAATACAGTGTAATCCACAAATGTGTGAGCCATGTATATAATTCTAAACTTTCTAATAGCCACATTCTAAGAAATGAAATATAAATAGGTGACATTAATTTAACTTAATATTGATTTAATAATATACTTTATTTAATCTACTATATCCAAGATATCATTTCACCATATAATTAATACAAACAAAAATATTAATGAGATATTTTACATTACTTTTTGCATATTCAAAAACTGTTGCATATTTCATAGTTAAAGCACATCACAGTGTGACACTTCAAATATTCAATAACCACATATCAAGAGGTGGCTATTGCATTGGACAGTGTCATTCTAGAATATTTCTAACTTTAACAATACATAGTTTGCAACCAAGTAAATTGTTTCAACTTAGTTAAGTGACTTGAAATGAATTAGATTGAACTGAATTAACTTCTCATGAGGAAGACACTAGTTTCCTCCAGTTGCCTGAAGCCAGTGTCATTGGCACAAAGCAAGATTTGTCTATTCCAGGCCATAGGTTTTTCTTAGCAACAAACATGTCTCCCCCTACACATAGGGTGGCTCCTGGAATTCAGATCCTTTAACAGGATGCCCAGGCTCACAAGCCAACCATAGGGTGATACTTTATTTTTTTATTGCTCATTTACCTCATTTTCCAAAAATTGGGAATGAACCAAGAATACCATTTTAGGTTCTTCTTAAACTTTCAACAATGCCAAAAACTTGCTACCTGGTAAGGGTTTATAACTG